GGGTAAGAAATTTGCGATGAGCGCGGCAGATTTGAAAGCGTTCAATGACATAAAAAAAGCGCTCAGGAGCGCACCTGTGCTTAGACACCCCGATTTTTTAAAGCGTTTCTTTGTCCAATGTGACGCGTCCGATTACGGTGTAGGCGCGGTGCACAGTGGTTCGGATAGCAGATCTAGCTGGACGAAAGTCAATTTTTTTTTTGTTTTTAAAATACTTAATGGTACTTGGAATACATTCCTGATAATACATTCAAATAGAAATTGCATTTATTAAAGCATTAACATATGAAAACAAACAAAAAAAGGTAAGTCAACGCCGCCTATTTGAGAACTCTATTTTAAAAGCTGAAATTCAACTTAAATGATTGCTAATTGCACTCACAGATATTTGCATAATTGCAAATTGACTTTATAAACAAAAATTACACTTATTTCGCTATAGATTCAGAGGTCAGAACGCAATTTATGTCCACATTGGTATAAGCAAATTTATTCTGAAAAATCGTCGTTTTGATTAATTAAAAAAATAAATTAAAGAGTAGGAAAGTAAAGGCCGCCGAAGGCCTATCAAAACAGAAAAATACTTGGAGTTATAAAAACTTTGGTTATGTAAGAGTTAAAAAAAAATAGTAACTCGCGAATTTTCTCCTTTCTGAAATTAAAAAATTATAAAACAGGCATGCAAATCTTTGAGCGCTGTTATACAATTTTTTCTGAAATTTATTTGTGTTTCTTGCTGTGATCTTAAATTTCATGGTAAATAAAATCTTAAGTGAGTTGTTTGACATTTGGAGAAGTGTTGCTGAAACTTCTAAAAGACAACAGGGTGTCCGTGATTATGTGATTAGTAAATTGAAAGAAATATCTGATGAAAATGCTCGTTCCGAAGTAAATGAAGTAAATTAAGTAAATGACTTTAGATTCGTAATCAGCAATCCAGAAAATCCCCAGATACCCAGTTACATATAAATCTTACGATTTTTTTTTTAAATTTTCGTCCGCCATATTGGATCCGCCATTTTGAATTTTTGGTAAATGACTTTAGATATGTAATCAGCGACCCAGAAAACCCCCAGTTACCCAGTTTCATATAAATCCACCGACTTTTTTTATTTTCGTCCGCCATATTGGATCCGCCATTTTGGGTTTTTGATAAGTGACTTCAGATTCGTAATCAGCGACCCAAAAATCCCCTAGGTAAGAAGTGGTGTAAAGATCCATCAACGAGTATTTGTTTAAATAGTTTCGTCCAGCTAGATTTGCGATCCGAACCACTGTGCGGTGCTGTGCCAGAAAGAAACTGACGGATCGGAGAAGCCCATCGCGGACTTCTCCCAAAAACTGAATGACTGTCAGCGCAAGTACAGTGTTACCGAAAAAGAATATCTCGCGGCGGTAATGGCCGTCAAGAAGTTCCGGGCATACATAGAGCTGATGCCCTTTACTGTGGTGACGGACCACGCTAGTTTAAAGTGGCTGATGTCGTTGAAAGACTTAAGCGGCAGACTTGCGAGATGGTCTCTACAACTACAAGCCTTTGATTTTGAAATCGAGCACCGCAAGGGCTCTGATAATATAGTCGTCGACGCGTTTTTTTATATGGAAGACACTGTCAGCAAAAAAATAAATAATTGCAAAAAATCAACCAAATTTTCTAATAACTTCAGACTTGCACTTTACTAATTGGTAGAGTCCGACCGATTAATCGGCATCGGCATCGGCATCGGCTAGTATCGGCACGAAATTGAGTATCGGCATCGGCATCGGCATCGGCCTTTTTTCGCCGATTCTTTGGAATTTCTTTTCAAATGTTCAGGTGAAGCGACAGCCAACATTAAAAAACATTTGCAGACAGCTCACAAAAATGATTTTTTTTTTGTTGAAGGTGTTTTACGTTTTTTCCATACAAAAGTATCTGCGAAAATGTTATTTAATATGGAGAACACTGCCAGCAAAAAAAATTTCAAAAAATTAACGAGATTTTATAGCAGCTTGAAACTTGCAGTTCATTATACTAGAATGAAATGGTCTACAAAACTGCATAGCAAAATTCTGATTAAAATTTTTCTTTTGCTTTTTTAACTCCGTGAAATGAACTGATTTTATGAATTAATACATTTATTTGTAATTTTTATGGAATCGGCATCGGCATCGGCATCGGCCGATTCTTTCCCCATAAGCCGATTAATCGGCATCGGCATCGGTACCTGAAAAAAAATTGGAATCGGTCGGACTCTACTAATTGGCTCAACAGCTACATTTTCAAAATTTTTCTAAAAGATCTGATTAGAAATTGTGGACTGATGAAAGAGTCTCCGAGCCAATGACTCTAGGTTTCATGAAAGAAAAAAAAATGAGTACAAGGTAACATTAAAATAACAGCAATTTTTTTCGTTGCTGTGAACTTGTTTCAAAACTTCTGGCTTTTGCTTAATATAATTGTAAAACTCTGTGCATGCCATTTTAACGTATTTAGGGACATACTTATATTAATCATCAACTATAGCTTGTGCAAAACGTAGTAGATTAAAAAAAATACGCATATGAAAGAGCACCAACCCAACTCGTAATACATTTAAGTATACAAATTTTAGTATTTAGTACAGAAATATTCAATTCAAATACGCCAATATTAAAAAGAAGCGCTTTGCATTTAACGGATGCTTTTTCATAACTAAGTTAAAAAAAAATATTTAAAATCCATGCTGCCTGTAATGGGATTTGAGCCCTGACCCTCTGGAATTTAACAAATTTTGGCAAGCATCTTCGCGCTCTCGGCTACAGCCAGACATGTAAATGTACATTCAAATGTTCAGTTTGATTCAACACCACGCGTGCGTGGTATGAAAGTATTATTTTTAAATACGAACATTTTAAAATGATAATCAAATAAAAAATATTCATGTTTACTATGCGTTATTTCCCCCAGTATTCAAAATTTGTGCAATCAAATCGAAAACCGGGACACTTAAACGAAACCCGGGACATTTTAAGGTTGGACCGGGACACCAGGACAAATAGTCTAAAACCGGGACATGTCCGGGAAAATCGGGACGTCTGACAGCCCTGCTTAAGTATCAAGTCATAAGGTGCCACTCCCCTACTTCTATTTGCTCCTGTGGATATTCAGAAAGGGCAGCAGATATCGACGCTATTTCTACTCCGGGCAACACATTAACCATTTCTTTACTAACTATCGTACAGTGCTTATTTTGTGGACGCGAAATTGATCGATCCTTCAAGTGGTTTTGATTAATTACACCAGGCTGAGGTTCAAATACCCAATCGGCTAAATCTCGCAAAATAATCTCTTGTGGCACTAATCTTAATTTTTGAGTCTGGCGAGAGTTCGCGCCCTCTGTAACCCGCAAGAGAAAACTGAAATAGCCAGATTCTCTGAAACGCAAATTTATCGAGAGTTTAAAATACTTTACCGTTCCCTCAGTTCGCCCGCCAAGCGGTCTTTTAAGTTTCAAGCATTTTAAAATTATACAAAATTCAAAATAAAGAAATGAAATGTTCAAAATTGGTGAAAATGAGAATGCGTTTGTGAGATTCAGTTTTACATTTTTACAATTTTAAAAATCTCATATCGAAAATATTTGGGCAAATTTTCTGATCCAGAACCTTAATTTGAAAGTAAATTTTCTGCGTACGAATATATATAGATGCTTATATAGATTATAATACAAATAGAACCATATTTGTCTCAGAAAAAAACATCGAGATAAACCGTGTAAGATTTCTATATGGAGAGGCAAAAGCACCATTTTTGTTTTGCAGATCTTCCGCTGTATCATATTCGCACGAACATAGCAATGCTTTGCTCGATATGAAACCAACACAGGGACGAAAACGAATAAATGGAAAATAACAATGCTCAAATCAAAATAAAGCGCATCAAAATAAATGAACGTAGCAATGCTTTGCTCAATGTACAAATTTTTAAATCTTTCGACGCAAATATTTCGAAAATGGTTCAATGAATCTTAAATATGAAAAGTTTGTGCAAAGTTTCAGATCGAGCACTTTAATTTGATGTATAATTTGTAGATCGCTGGGAATAAGCGCCTTGTTTCAAATTAATATATAGATAATAATAATAGATTTCCGCTTACACATATCTTAGTGTTTGGCCGAGCTTCTCCTTTCTGGTGTGCGCCTTGATGTTCTCACACAAAAGGGAGTTTTACGCCGACTCCGAATGGCGATTGTATTTTTGTGTGTGTGTGCTGTCTTTCATAGCAGAAATACACTCGGAGGCTTGCCATTGCCTGCCAAAGGGCAACCCGCTATTAAGAAAAAACTTGTTTTCTACTTTTTGCGATGTTACTTTGACCAGGACTTGAACCCAGGTCCTGCGGAGTGGAAGTGCGTACTGCTAACCACTACACCACAGCGGCCGATACATAAAGATTATATGCCTCCGCACGTGTGGTTATAAGCCCGTATAGTCAACATTGTTCCTGGCGCTGACGGAAAGGTACGCGTAGTGGTTGTGAAAACGTCAACAGGAATACTACGTCGAGCTATACATAAATTGGGTCGCTTACCATCCAATAATTGAAAGTCCCTTTCAATGGGGGCATAATGTTTAATCATAGCATAGTTTATAGTTTGCAATTGTTTTGATATTTTTGTAATCTGGCAGCTTCGTTTTCATCCTCTGTAATTTTCCCTCATCCTATGTATGAATATGTACCTATTGCTATTGAAATATATTTACTCACTTACGATGTAACTTTTGTAGGCGACAGAACTCTAATCTAAGCACATTTTTAATTCTGCTAAACACCCTCAAAACAATATTCTTATAAGTCGGAGTCAAAGCAAGTTGTCATTACTTATACTTAAAGTTAAAAGAAAAGTTCTTCAAAATTGAGGAATTAATGACAATATGACATTTTTACAACCCCTTTTAAACCATAAAACTCTCTATATGCACTAAAAAATTTGGTGTTATACAGCTATTAATCTTAATATATTTTTTTAATTTCAAGTTCCACCAACTCTTCGTGCTTTGCCTCATAATGGCCAAGTAACTGCACGAAAGGGCAGTACCGTCACTTTGGAATGTAAAGCTTCGGGAAATCCAGTTCCAACCATTTATTGGTTTAAGAAAGATGTGTTTTCTGGTCCTACGCATTTATCTGACAGCTCAACTTTAATATTAGAGAATGTGGATAGACATCATGCTGGAATTTATCAATGTTCTGCTGACAATGGAGTTAAAGAACGAGTTTCAATGGATATACAATTAACTATTTTATGTAAGTTTTTTGATATTTATTTACTGAATCTACTATAAGGTAGCGAGATACTCTGTTTCAATCAATGGGCATGAATATTTTTTAGAAATATTACTTCTTTTCATCCAATTTTGTAAAGCTAGTATATAAGAGCAACTAATTTTTAAGCAAAAACAAAAGCGAATTCAATTCCCATATAAAAATATAGGAGTACCGTTATTTTCCTCATGATCCAATCATCACATCTAAACCAAATTATCATGGGTACCTTGAGGTACCAGCCTTCCATTAAAAAAAGGATTATCGAAATTGGTTCACGTGGTCCAAAGTTATGCTGTAACTAGGCTTGCCAAATTTTTAAATGCCTAAGGGAGGACAAAATTTCTTAAGGAGGACTTTGTATGAAGACTACTTTGCTTCCGGAGGGCACTACATTCGCTTAATTTCTCCAAAACAGCATCTCCACTTTTGAAAAAAATCATATTGAGCACTTTAATAAATTAATTTATTATAAATAAAAAATCAAAAAGAAAGCCATTCTATGATTGGGCCAAAACCATTTCAATGAAGTAAAAAAGAAAACCTTTGCATCAATATAATTAGGGAGTTCACAAGGCGTGTTAAGCGTCGTAATGTCTTAAAATTTGTCTATGTTAAATAAGGGTTAAAATGGTTTTAGGAGATTTTTAACTAAACCAAAATAAAAAAAAACTCTTACATGGCCCGCTTTAAAAATTAATATATTGAAAAGTAGCACAAAGTGCTAAAAATTAATAATGGGTATGGAAAGCTTTAGTCTTATTAAACATCTCCCATAAATAATTTTTTGGAGAAATTCGCACAGTTTGACTTTTGCCATTTTGAATTTTGTAATATACAAATTGCCAACTCTAAGTTTCATTGGCGATTTTTTACAATAGGCATTGACGATAGAATAAAATCATTTACGCAATCTTATACATAGTTTATAAATGAAGCTATCAAACTGAAACAGGAATTGTTTCATAGACTACTAGCTGCGTTCGAGTAAAGCTATGATTTTCAAGGCAACATCAACTATTTATGCGTGAGTGTGTGTCACTTAAAGCACTGATACAGCCATATTAAAATATTTTAGTGGTTAAATCGAAGAAAACCATGTGCACGAGATATATCTAAGCAAACATAAAAAAAATAAAATTAAATTAATTTACAGAGTTCGATTTTCCAACTTTTGCCCACCTAGATTTGGGATTCAGACCACTATGCGCCGCTGTTTTGCTTTGAAACCAATAACATACATGATTTTCTTGTCCGATGTTAATAAACAGTTACTTGTAATACAAATCATGTATCCACATCCAGGACCCACTGCAGACGTGGCGTCTAGTAAATAATTATAATATTAGTTAATAGCAGGGTTCGGAAATTCTCACTCACATTCTCTCACGTTCGCGATCGATAATATTCCGAATAAATTTTTGCATTCTTTTATCGCGAGTGAAAAATGCAAACAACTTTATCAACTCTCACATTCGGAATGCGATCGACAAAAAAATTTCCGCTGCTTTCCTTTCGCGATCGAAAAAAGCAAAGAAATTTCCTCTCACTCGAATATGAGAAGTTCGAGCATTGCCGATTTTGGCCTCTCGTAAACGAGAAAAACAATGCAAATAATCCATTCGCGATTACTCACAACAGCTTATCGCGATAAAATTATCGTGAACAATTTTCAACGACGTTGTACGGGAGATATTTTTCGCGTTTGTTTTGGGCAGTGTTGTCATCTTTTGATTTTCAAAAGGCACCAAAAACTTGGAAAAAAGGGCTAAATTTTTTTGAATCAGCTTTTTTCTTAACATAATACCGCTGTGGTGTAGTGGTAAGCAGTGCGCGCTTCCACTCCGCAGCACCTGGGTTCAAACCCTGGTCAAAGCAACATCGCAAAAAATATAGAAAAAGGGTTTTTTATTAACAGCGATCGTCCCTCGGCAGGCAATGGCAAACGTCCGAGTGTTTTTCTGCCATGAAAAACAGCACGCCACAATTCGGAGGAGAAGCTCGGCCAAACACTAACATATGTGTAAGCGCCAATCTATTATAATACCGAAGTACTGCACATTAAAACTGGTATATCTCGATAAAGAAAAATCGAATCGCAACAAACGAAAATGATGCCCTAATTAGAAATGAGCAAATAATTTGATGTTTTCATTATATAACCTCAAATATCGCTAAAAACCCTGTTTTTGGCACTTTGAGGCTAGGATACATCAAAATTCTAGTGCTTGAGCAATTATGAGGCCAGATTTGGATTCAGCACCAAGAAACGATGTGTTTTACTCAGGTGGTAAAAAAAAATAAAATTTTTACAAATAATTAGAAAAGAAAAAAGAAATACTTAACTTACTTGCGTAGTAGCATTTTCAACGCGAATAGAATTAAACAAGGTGGGTTTGCAACTTCAGCTTTTTATCAATCATGGTTGTATTTTAGTCCATTTAAATTTGTAGATTCTTTTAAATTCAGTGCTGCCACAGCTTTAAATCTTTCAAATTATCTCAAGTTTCAACTATCTCGAAGTAATTTTAGTTCAGAAAAAAAGCACTAGAAAAGGCACTAGAAAAGGCACTAGGCACTAAATAATTTTTTTGGCGTTTTAATTTTCAAAAAGCACTAAATCTAGTGCTTAAAGCGCCAAGTTGGCAACTATGGTTTTGGGTATGCATTTCGTTATACATACAGCATACATACATGTGCACATATGTATGTATATGTAAGTAATGCAAGCAAATGTTTTCGGTTGAAAGCAATGTAGGAATATGCACAAATATATGAATTATGGTGCTAACATATATGTATGTATGTACATATAAACTACATACACACATGCATACGTATAGTTAAAGTATATTCCAAGCGTACATTTTCAGTATAATGGTGTATCTGCATGTTGTTTTATTAGGAGCGTTCCTTATCTCCAAGAAATAGTCAGAAAAAGTCCGAAGTAGTCAGATTTAGTCCAAAAAGCGTTCCTTAACTCGGAAATGACAGCAAAAATGAGAGAGCAACACTCGGTGAGAGTGACTCTCATCAGTCCGAAGTAGTCAGATTTAGTCAGAAGAATTTTTTCTGGCAAAATCCTGAAAAGTGTCAAACTCGACTGAATTTAAATTAACGGAATACGCAAAAAGTGAAAATAATCTAAAAAGTAAAAAAAGTGAATTGAAATTGGAAGGAGGCAAAAAATAATTGATATAGAAAGTGTTTATTGTGCTTGTTCTTGTGTGAAGGTGTTTTGTACATACATTTACATTCTTATTTGACGTTAACTTTGTTGTTGCCATTCTTTGGACTAAAAATTTGGTTTTTTGCGTTCCTTTATAGCCCGAACACAATGAAAACGACGAGCTACAAACCACAGCTGTCAAATTATTTTAACACGTACTCTTATGTAGATAATTATTTTGGCGACGACCGGGCTACGCGACGGCTGTGGTTGTGGCCAGATTAGATCTATTTCTATTTTTCTGGCGACAGATAAGGTTCTTCCCAGTGTACGAAAATAAACTATATTGTACGTTACTATTTCGTTTCGTTTATTACTTTAACAGTTCGGTACAATACGAAACAAAACGGCTGAGTTCACTTTGGCGATAGTACACTACAGTAGTTTAGTAGTTACAGACGAAACAACAAACGAAATGAATCGTGCAGGGAAAATATTTTTATGTATGTAAATATATGCAATAAACAAATACAAAACGAATGGCTGCAATGAATAAAAAAAATAAAAATGTTTTTTAATTGAATTGGATATGAAAATTTACAGAAAAAATTATTTTTCACGTAATTGAAACGTTTGCATACATATAAAACGTACCCTATGGTACAATTGTCACAAACGAAAAGCAAACGTTTCTCGTTGGGGAAAATGACAGTGAATCTTACAATTTGTTTCTGACTATTTACAAAACTGTACAAAACCACAAATGATATGATGATCGATGAGCAAATGGGAATTGTTTTGTACAGTTTATTTTCGTACCCTGGTTCTTCCTCTTCTTTTATGTCAAACTCATACAAATTCATGATGTCGCTGCCGCGTTCAAAGAAATCATGTCGCCATCGACAAAGCGTTTAGATAATGAAGATAACAAATTGGAAGCTGTGGTCTGTAGCTCGTCGTTTTCAATGTGTTCAGAACTTTACTTTTCCTGTTATTCTCTTTTAGTGAGCGCATTTTGCTTACGCTCTGACATTTTGACACTTTTCAGATTTTAGTCCAAAAAGATATCTTATGAGTATTCGTTGTATGTTGTGTAATCGTAACTGCATGAGCGTGTGATTTGTTGTTGCTAGCGGTACATCAAATACACATGCAACAACAACCACACGCTCGTCCAGTTACACTTACGCAGGATACAGCGAATACACAGAAGCGAGAATACCACTAATGATTGCGTTTATTTTCTTATGTGTATACATCTTTGGTTTCGGTAGGGGTCAAATTTGCGAAGCTGTAACGTATATCCCAGCAAAAAATTTCGAAGGGCTTAGCATTTGTATTTCAGCATACAATTTTTATTTCATTAGAAGCACCCTGTGTTTGCTTGCTGCTGTATACATTTAGTTGCATACATTTAGGCATATGCCTACTTCCGATAATTTAAACTCCGCACATGCATACGACTTTTTACCTATGTATGTACATAAATATGTATGGACTCATTTGTTGCATCTGGGCATGAATCACGTAACTTTGAAACGATAGTCGTTCAAACGATACTGACAGAACGATGTTGTCAAAACACTGATTTATGCATTTGTGTTGCTGTTACGTGAAGCAAAACTCGAATCGAGTTGACGATATCGCACAAACGATCAAGCAATTCTTGATTTTTATGAAGCAAGACAATCTCGACACGATATCGTTCAGACGATTGTCGTCATACGTGATTCATGCCATGGTTTTGATATTCGTAGATGGTTTTAGGCATAGGTTTAGTAGTCTATTTTGATAAAAAAGCGAAAATTTATATTATTGATAACTGATGAACATACATGAATATATGTGTGTATAATATGCATATGTATGGATGATATAATAGTTCTGATCCAATACTTTTCGTGTAAAATCCTGGAAAAAGGTCAAACAGCAAAATCACTCT